ATTGGTTGGTGAGTTGCATTGAATAAAATACAAATTTGTTCCATTAGAAGGTAAACAATCTTGGCAGCTTGATCTTCTTGTGGATCCCTGTAGAGTTGATCATATGAATAAAGAACATTATTTCGTTTTTCCTCATTACCTATAGTCCGTTAAATGATTAATTGAATCATTCGACAGAAAAGCATACGATACTCGAATAGGTTCTTTCATCAAGTTCGTGATCGATCCACTAAGGTCCTTGTAGTAAAGCATACTGTTATCCACAAGCGACCATATTTGGAAAAGCTCGACGATCAGTTTTGGAGAAAATTTTGTAATTCGATATATCTTGTATACCTCCATAGCTGTTTTATTTACAGGTCGCATAACAAAAACTCGGTTATATTTTGAGAAAAACTTATCAGGAACTTCATTCAACTTCCCGCGAAAGATCCAAACGTTACTTTTTCGAAACATATTGTGTTTCAGTGCCTAAAAATGCTGTATGCTCATTAGATTGTAAAATGCATTCTTGTGTAAAACAATTTTTTCCATACTTAGTATATTCAATTAACTTTTTGCTTCTATAAATAAAGAGTATTTATAAAATCAAATCGATCTTTTTGTCACAGAATAAATATTCGTTGCTCTTATACACGTTCTGTGGCGTGTAAATCTGGACACTATCTATATAAAAAATCTCGAATCTTCAACACCTTAAATAACTCGAATAAATTATCTTTTTTCATATTTAACAAGCATCTTTATTATATAATTAATTTTGCTTCAAAACAATTTCAAACTTGATTAAAAAACTACATATCAAAATTGGTGCGCAAGACTTTTATTTTCAGTTTTTTCAAAATTGTTAAACTACCATTGAACTGTTATATCACCGTCTGTATAAAGACTACTACGCCCAATCTGCATTTGCTCACATTTTGCGAAAGCAACTAAAACATAAGATGTTGCAACATTTTTTATATTTTTAGAGAAAAAAAAAMTGCTTCAATTTAAAAAAATGATATTTTTGTGTGACATCAATAAAATGAACCATTGTGGCTTCTATASAAAAATTCAAAGAGRTACAGGCCTGTTTAATCTGAGATAGAAACACATTTATATCAGCTGATAAACTCACACGAGACACTCTTWACAAATAAACMTTGGCATGACTTTCGGCATTTTGGAACTATTTTTGATGGGCCATTAACAAAACATGTTATTGCTTTACTAGTAGAGATTTTTTCTCTAAAAACTACCCGTCCATATGGGGCTTTTATGCAGAATTTTTCCCAAACATCTGCACATGATATATATCTCCAACTAATGTTTGCTTTAAACCATTTGAATACGARAGAACCTGACGCATTTGAAAATATAGAATGCCACCATTATTCCACGTTTTACGTAAAAAAAAATGACTTTTCAATTAAAAAATGAATGCAACAGTTCATTCTTGATATTCGTATTTTCAATCAAAACGCTTATGTTAATAATAACGCGAGTTA